TATGCAAGTTTTAGGATGTGGAAATACATCAATAGGGGTGGTCCTTGAGAGTTTATAGGCTCACTGCACTTCCTGTTAACTCTCTGCTTTCCTGTGCTTGCAGTTGAGCTGTGATCTCTTGGCTTCCTGTTCCTGCCACTGTGCTTGCCATTCTTGCTGTCATACCTCCCCGAAATGATGGGCTCATCCCTCTGGAACCATAAGCCAAATACACTCATTTATAAGTTGTTTTAGGTCATGGTGTTTTATCACAGCAATTGAAAAGTAACTGATACAGAAGTTGGTACCAGAGAGTAGAGTATTGAAACTTTGGACTAGAGAAGCAGCTGAATGCTGTAAGTAAAGCATAATAGGCTTTTCTTGTAGGAGCCCTGAAACAGTAGTGCTGTAAGTATTGTGAACAAGGAAGGCCCAGCTCATGAGGCTTCAGAGGGGAATGAGCCTCGATTAGCAATGGGGCTAGAGGCCATTCGTGTGATATTTTGGCAAAGAATCTGGCTATTTTCTACCCATATCCTGAGAAGTTACATGAGGCTAAATTAAAAGGTAATGGATTGGGGCTAGAGAGATAGCTCAGTGGTTCAGGGGTTAAGAACACTAGCTGCTCTCACAGAGGATGCAGATTTCATTCCTAGTACTCGCATGGCAACTAACACAGTTTGTAACTCCAGTCAGGGAACCCAACACCCTCTTCCACCTGCTGAGGACACTGCATGCACATGGTGCACTTACTTACATACATGCAGGTTAAACACTCATACACATAGAATAAAAATAAGTAAAACAGAAAACAATGGACTAATTTCTTTGGTGGAGGAAATTTCAAGACAACATAACACTGAGTCTGTGATATGGTTTTTACCAATAACTCTTGGGAGGTAAGAATGAAAAAGAGCAGGTAGGGCAGAAAGAAATACGAGCTGTATAGTTTGGAGAGAAAAAGAGCACTAGGAAGCTTAATGTTACAGCCAGGGTGTGTGCTGAAAGGGCGTGGCTCCCCCTTCCAAGAATTACAGCTTGCCTGCTCTGTTGTTTTTCTCTTAAACTCTAATAAAAAAAAAATGTCCTCAATCTTGAAAGAGAGAAGGAAAGAGAGAAAAATAGGGTGGAGGGTGATAGAGGAAGACATCTGACATCAACTTCTGGCCTCCACATGTATGTGCACACACAATGCATCTGCATAAACACACACACACACACACACACACACACACACACACACACACACATATATATATTTGTATATGTGAGTGCCTGCATCATCACAGGCATGTTGGGTACCCAAGGAGGCCAGGAGAAGGTATCAGATCCTCTGTAACTTGGGTCATGGGCACTTGAGAGCTACCTGATGTGGGTGCTGGGAATCAAATCCAGCTTCTCTGTAAGAGCAGCAGGTTGCTCTTAAACACTGAGCTATCTCTCCAACCCCTTCTTTCTCTTTAAAAAAATAAAATGAGTATCATCCTGAAATAGCAATTCTCACTAGTCCACTAATCTGAAAAGGCATTATCTGAGCAGTATTGTAATGACAGGTAGTTGCTGACCACAGAAATGTATTCCCACCTAGTAAAGAGGGGGAAAAGAGCAAGGTGCAAAACCTGTATGCAGATAAAAGTTTGCTCTCATTAAGACCAATGTAAATGTGCCCATGTGCAAATCTAGATGTCTGCTGTCTCTCTGGCCTTCCTGTACCTGTGTGTCTGTGTTTGCCTGGGACTCACCTGCACAAACCCATCTGCAGGACTCAGCCCAACCTGCAGCTCCACAGTGGGCTTCCTCCAGTCCACACTCCTGGGCTTGCAACTCCTACTGAAGGACTTTTGGGGGCTGTTGTGTACTGTGAAGGCTAATCTTGGTTATCAACCAACCTGACTTAATCTGAGACCAACTAACAAACATGCCTCTGGGTGGGTCTGTGAGGCTAACTCCTGAGCAGATTAACTGATGGGAGAAAGGATCCTACACCAGAGTAGGAAGATCCAGTGAAGATCCAGATATAAAGAGGTCTGAGAGAAAGGCAGTGTTGCTGTTGTCTCCTTTTGCTGTTTGCTGGTGAGTGCATCTCCGATGATATTGATGATGATGACGATGATGATGATGGAGGAGAAAAAGAAGAGGAGGAAGAGGAAGCTGCTGCCACCACCACCATCCTTCACTGACATGAGAACCCAGATTCTTTAGCCTTCTGATGTGGACTGAGACCGATGACTCCCCAAGAATCCTCTACACCTTCAGTGTTAAATTGGGACTGCTGAGACATCCATCATTGTGAGCTGAGCAACTACTAGGTTCTCTGCCTCTCTCCAGGGTACAGCCAGCCACCATTGGACTACTCAGCCCATATTATGCAGTTAATCTAATAAATCCTCTCATTCTATTGGCTCTGTTCCTCTAGAAAACTGTAACTAACACATGTGACTTGTCCTGGGGGAACTATTTCTATTCACCATAGATAGGGTAACCACAAACCAAAGAAACAATTCCAACCAAGTCCAGCTTGGTGAACTAATGAGCTTAGAGTTACTCAAAGGAATATGGGTCTGCATTACCAAAAAGGCCACCCAGCATGGGTGACGACTCAGGAAAGCTATGTCACTGGAGTGCCCTGTGCAACCTGCAGACAGCTCCACCACATGAGTCTTCTCTCCCCTCAGCAATTATTTATAGCTTATATGACCTTGAGGAAGGACCTGGTGAGGCTTGTAAGTTTAGGTTTAGAATTTTTTGATTAACTTATTTTTATTTTATTCACGTGTTCTGCCTCCGTGTATTATGCATCATGTGCATGTGCATCATGTATGTGCAATGCCTGTGGAGGCCAGAAGGGGGCGTTGGAGCCCCTGGAACCGGACTTATGGTTGTTAGCCACCTTGTGGGTGGGAACCCAGGTCCTCTGCAAGAGCAGCCAGTGCTCTCGACTGCTAAGCTATCTCTCCAGTCCCAGTCTTTCTCTTTTTAAAAATACTTCATTATTTTTATGTATATAAGTGTATCGCATGCATGTATGTAAGTGCACCTGTGTGGGATCCCCTGGAACTGGAGTTACAGATAGTTGTTAGCCCCCATGTAGATGCTGGGACCTGAACCTGGGTCCTCTGCAATAGGCAGTGCTCTTAACCACTGAGCCATCTCTCCAGCTCCAATGCTCCCTTCCTCCCTCCCTTCCTTCCTTCCGTTAAATGCTTCTTGGTCCTTTAGTGTGTCTTCTTACGCAGAATGAGACCCCTATTCCTTCGTGCAGGGTCTTATTACCTATAATCAAACAAGGTAGTCAGAGTGTTTCTTCATGGTCGGTTCTTACAGAGGGTGGGGTTAAGAGTGAGATTTGGATGGGTTTTGACTGGCTTTGGAGAAAAAGGGGTTCAGGTTTCCTTTTTCTTTTTTTCTTTTTGTCTTTTTGAGACAAAGTATCCCTGTAGCCCCAGCTGGCCTAGAAGTCACTATGTAGATCAGGCTGGCCCTGAACTCACAGAGATCCATGCCTCTGCCTCCTGAGTGCTGGTACTACAGGTGAGTGCCACCACACTCAATGTGGGGATTCAGGTTTCTAAGACCGAAGTTGAAGAGGGTTCTAGTTCCTTTCCCCCCATTTATGTGCGTGTGCGTGTATGTGTGTGAAGGTCAGAGGACAATTTGGGGGAGTCCATTCTTTCCTTCCACCATGCAGGAACAAACTCAGGTCATCAGGTGGCAAGTGTCTTACCAGGCTAGCCATCTCATTGGCCTGAATTCTAGTTCTGTGGCTTCTTGGGGAGAATGAGACAGACAGACAGAAGGACAGAAGGCAAAGAGATCCTTTGCCTCTGAGGCCTCACCTGAGCTACCATTTTCTGGGCCCCAACATCCTGAAGCTCAGACGTCCTTCTTCCCCAGGAAATAATTCAAATTCCTCTCCCCAATGACTACACAGTGACCCAGAAGCCCCCAGACCCACAGCCCTGCTGTACCCCAGGACCTTTGCCAAGAAGAGCATCTGAGCAGCCTGCAGGGATTGTAAATAAGAGGACAGTGTGTCATTCCCCGAAGAGACTGAACTTTGAAATCAGCTGAGGTTCCATTTCTAGCTCTCTCCTTTCCTGGCTGTTTACTGGGCAAGGCCCTCTCGGTAAGCCTCGGTTTTACGATCTGTCAAGTAGGACTAGTGGTACCTAAGAAACTTGTAGAATTGGTGTGCAGTTGGAGGGGCAAATGACTCAAATAAGTGCAACTGTCTGATTACTTTTATTTCTAAACTAAGTATGTAGAAGGATAGGACGTCGAAATGTCCAATGTAGTTCTCATTAGTTTTAACTTTCTCGTTCTTCTCTACAGAATGGTATCCATTCTTCCATCCACTCCACAGGGTTTTGTGGACTTATTTTGGAAATCATGCCCATGGAGTCACTATGGAGCCCTGCCTGGTTTGGTATTTGCCATCATTTTGTGATTGCACCATCAGGGCCAACTTCCCACAGGTATTTTTTAAGCACCCTCTTTGTCATGTCCTGGGCTCAGAGTTAGGAATACAACATTTTCAAGACAGATCAGGAAGGCCCGGAGCAGACTAATTACATAATTGCACAAACACTTAAAATTGTCAGGCGTGTCTAAAAATTTGTTTTAAATTAGCTTACAATGAATGAATTCAGATTCATTATGTCATTTTTCCAACACAGTTTTTGCTGTTGCTTTCCCTTCTCTTCTCCATCATCCCCTCCCCCCCACTCTCGCCCTCATAGTGTCTTAAGTTTCTTCAAAGCAGAAGGCAGAAAAACCCTAAAATTTCTGACCAAAATATTTTAAGGTTATGCCAGGCATATTCTACCACTGAGCTACACCCCCAGCCTCGCCAACACTGGTTAACACAGCTGAGCCATAGGCTTGAGACCCTCAGGAAGGCTCAGGAAGCGTTCAGGGGCCCAGGAGCTTCTTATCGCCGGCGGTAGAGAGCCGAGAGGGTGGCGGTTGGTTGCAGGGGAGGCGCCGGCCTCCGGGGGCGGCCACGTGAGCCGTGCGCCGAGCGCTGCGCAGTCCCGCCCCTGCCCGCGGCTCCTGTTTCGGCTTCAGCTCGGCTCCGGCGGGATCGAGGTCCGCACGCCTTTCACTACTGGCCCGGCTCTCCGGTCCCCTGCGCTTCCGACCCGGGCACTCGCCCCTCCGCGCGCAGGGATCACCCGCCCGCCCCGCATCCTTGGGGGACCGCCGGTCCTGCACCCTGGAGCGCCAGGCCGCGAGCCTCTACCAGCTCCTCGGGATCCTTGCGGCCGTGGGCAGCGGCTGCGGCGCCTGTCCCCCTGCGGGAGGTAGGTGACGCTGTGGTGCCTGCCTCCTCTGAGCAGCGGCGCCCCAAAAGGCGACCGGGCGGTCCTCAAGTTGCCGAACTCCGGCGGGGCTTAGTGTTTGCGCCTGTGAAGTGGGGGAGTGGTGTAGATTAAGGGCGATGGCCGGCGGCCGGAGTCTGCACAGCCGGCCAACCTACCTGTCCCGTGCAGCTTCCGAAGCTGCATCCCTCCCACCCAGTTCTCTGCACCAGAGGCCTGCATGGGCCTCAATTCCCGGAACCCCGAGGACTGTGCATACGCCCTTGCTGCATTGTTGGCTGCAGGAGCTGGGGTGTTGGCAGGCGTTGGCTACATGTGCGCCAAGGGGCTGAGCATTAATATGCAGTTGGTGACGCGGGGGCGGGGACCTCCCGGGTAAGCCCTGCCTAGATCCGCCTGCGCCCCCCGAAGGGAATTGCGGGGGAACCTGCCCAGCTGCGCCCCGAGTGTAGCGGACCTGTGTTTTGCAGAGGAAGGACATCTGCCTTGGGGATGCTCCCTGGGGGTGGATTTCTGGGTCCTCCGTGATGGGGCGCCCCCTGTCTTGGTGCCACAGAACCCGGGTTTTACAGAGGAGAGCACTCGAATGTTCCCCAGACCCCCAGTGGCTAAGTGGGTGTGAGCCATATAAACAGCCACTGCCTAAGGCAGATGGACTGGGTGGGGAATGTAGGGTAGGCAGTAAACTGAT